ACTTTTTGGTGACCAGCAGGTCATAATCCGTTTGGGGGCCGATTGACCCCTTCTTAACCTGCTAGAGCCTTTCTAAAACTTTCAGTGTTAGGCCGGAATCAGACTACGCATTGAAGATTGAGATTGAAAGATTGAATTTTGGCTAATCAAAATAATAGGAGTTAAAATTTCTTTGTCTTCATTGGTCAAATTTCAATTTTCAATCTTCAATCTCAATTTTCAATGCGTAGTTTGATTCCGGCCTTAGGCAAGTTGTCGATTAATAATGCATTAATACTTTTCTTAACTTATTAACTCTCTTCTTAACTTATCCTTATTTTTATAACTTATTCTTAACTTATACTTATAACTTATTCTTATAACTTATTCTTGACTTATTCTTATCGGTTATATAACTTATTACTTATTCTTCAATTAAAATACTGTTGAATGACACGTTCTCGTACTTCATTACCATTTTCAATTCTTATATCATTCATTGCGATATTTCTGTCCTCTATATCTAATTCGTCATAATATACTTTAGGCTGTGGCACATTATAAAATTTCGCCATATTATAAAGAACGCAGCAAGAGTTAACAATAAGAACTAAAATCAATAATTATAATTATAAATATTATAGTTATAAATGTTGTGTTTTTCACAATACTTGATTTTAAATTGAAATTGAGTATAAGCACGAATACGAGAATATCATAAAATGCCGATCTGTATATGCGAGTGTCTCTATTGAATGTCTGTATACAACTGCCGGTGTCGACCTTTTGCCGGTCGACAACTCAGATCGTTACCGAGCCGCTATTGTGTGTCGCTTATTACATAGGCGTAGGTAACACCTTCCCTATCTGGAAGAGTAACAGTAGTAATCTTCTAGCCTACGTGGACGACGTCTGTTGCGTTGAGAGCGTCTCAGCACTGGTTGCTGAACAGGTTCTGTTTGTTGATCTAGACCCTGGGACTCTTGTGTTAGTGTTCCCGGATCCTGCGTTCCAGTCGCTTCTTGAGGTTGCAGCTGTTCTTGTCCAGTGCCTTTTAGAATTGGAGGTGAAGTGGAATTTCCTCCATCATCGAAAGCGTTGACCAATATCTCTAGTGGTAGTTGTAGTTCTTGCTGTTGAGATGAGTCATCATTGTCCGTGATAGCTCGCAACTTGATTTGATTCGCATGAGCTCGAACCAAATGACTTCGTGTTTCAACAAGTACATTGTAGATAACTTTTCCAACTTTTTCGACTACTTCTTCGGGGATCCAAGACCATTTATTGTAAGTGTGGATTTGAACGTAAACTTTCGTTCCTGGTTCAAAACTCTTGGATTTGACTGCGTGTCTCCGGTTGTATTGTTCTTCTTGCCTTTGTTTAGGCAGAGGCTTCTCAGGTTGAGCAGCTGAGCATTCCGAGGGCTTAAGCAGATCTAACGTTGTTCGCATTAGTCTTCCAAGCAAGGCTTCCGCGGGAGAAACTTGATTTGGAACATTAGGATTTGGAGTTGACGTGTAATACTGCAAGAAAGTGCAGAGATGTTCCTTGACTTCTTTCCCCTCTGTCTCGCATTTTCAAAGTGCCCGTTTGAATGTATCTACGAAACGTTCTGCTTGTCCATTAGAACTTGGATGAAACGGTGGAGTATGCAGATGATTCCCTGCAAAAGACAAAAGTTTTGAAACTTTCCTGAAGTGAACTGAGTTCCATTATCTGAAACTAGACTTTCAGGAACACCAAATCTTGCAAAAATTTCTTGAAGAATATTTATAGTTCGCTGAGCTGTGATTGTTTGTGTTGGAACTATTTCAGGCCATTTTGAAAAGGCATCGACCAAAACAAAATAATATTCTCCATTTAACGGTCCTGCGAAATCTATGTGAACTCTTTGCCATGGTTTTTCAGGAAGAGACCAGCTTGATAATGGTACCTTGATAGGTGATTTCGCGGCGAGTGTGCAATTTCTGCAATTTCTGACAAATTCTTCTATTTGCTGATCTATCCTTGGCCAATATACGTACGAACGTGCTATGATTTTCATTCGCTCCATTCCAGGATGACCCTTATGCATTTGTTTGAGAATTTGTTAATGGAATTGTTGAGGAATTACAACTCTGTCGTTGAAAAGAAGACATTCTTGAATCATGGTTAGTGAGTTTCGACGGCGGAAAAATAGTTGTAAATCCGAATCATCTACATTCTGAGGCCATGAATTCAAAGTAAAGTTGATAACTTTTTGTAAGATGTCATCTTCTTTAGTTGCTTCCTTGATTTGTTGAAATGTGATTGGAAAGGACTGAAGTGATTCATTGAGGACTGAGAATAAATCTGTTTCCATTTTGACAGAAGCGATTACAAAATCCTCTTCAGGACGTTGTTGATGACTGATTAGTCTTGATAAAACATCCGCATGTCCAAATTCTGTCGTCTTGATGTATTCGATTTTAAAATCGTAAGATAATAATTGAAGTGCCCATGGTTGAAGACGGTTGGCTGTATGCGACGGAATTCCTTTTTTGTTATCAAATATTTGAAGTAATGGTTTGTGATCCGTTTAAAGGATAAATTGTCTTCCGAAAATCATTCTATGAAATTTCGTGACTGCAAAAATGATTGCTAATGCCTCTTTTTCAATTTGACTGTATTTACGTTCTGCTTCTGTGAGACTCCTTCAGGCGTGACTGATTGCCTTGATCGAATGATCTGGAAATTTATGAAGAATGCATGCTCCTAATCCTTCATTTGAAGCATCTGCTGCTACAATAATCTCATTCTGAGGATTGTAGTGAGTTAATAAGAGCTTTGAAGAAAAAATTCTCTTAAATTGATTAAAAGATTCTTGACATTTTAAAGACCAGTTCCATTTAGAATCCTTTTTTAAAAGATTATCCAAAGGACGTCTAAGAATGTGCA